GAGCATAAATTCAATTTCTTTTGATCGATTATACTTTTCTTGATGAAATTTAGTGGGCCTCTGTTATTTTTACCGAAAGTAATGGTTTTTGTCTTAACTTCTTTGTTTTGTAGGACATTTCCATATGTGTTTATTGCAAATTCCTGACTTTCTTGTTCTGGGATAGTGACATTCGTGTTTCTATTCAGTGAGATCTTGTAAATAGTGTAAAAAATGAATTTTCCCTTGAGAAAGAAAAGAAACTGAAAATTGGAGTTTGTTTTTCTAATATGGGGAATAAATTGGGGAGGAGGAAGCAAGTGGTGGACGAGAAGTACACTAAGCCTCAGGGATTGTATCAACACAAAGATGTGGACCACAAGAAGCTTAGAAAACTCATTCTTGACTCAAAGCTGGCACCTTGTTACCCTGGTGATGATGAATGTGGGTGTGATCTTGAGGATTGTCCCATTTGCTTCTTGGTATGTTACTTTCTTCATGTCTTGTTTTTGGTTGTTTATACTATCATGACGTTCTTGGTTGTTTTTACTTAACCTAATGCGGATTTGATATTCTGTCTGAGTAATTGAGAAATGAAAAAGCAAGTTACCCTGGCAAAATAGTTGAAAGAGGTGGATATAGGAAATAATTGAACCGTTATTTAGAAGTTAGCTTAGCCTACTAATTATGTTAAATGACAGTCTGTAATGGAAATGCGTTCGTTACAATGTGTTAGCAATTGGGAATGGAACATTGAGTAAACTATATTTGATTGAATTTCGGTTATGCTACAATTGAGGCTTAGCTCTTATTCTACTTTCTGGGACTAGAACAAAGACAATTGTCATAGTGTTAGAATCAATAAGGCTAGTTTGTTTTCGTAATGCATTAAAGCACATCATATGAGTCGTATGACATTTTTCTCACCAATATTTTCTTTTTATGTTTTGCATGTTTTCAGTACTATCCAAGTCTTAATAGGTCAAGATGCTGTACGAAAGGCATTTGTACAGGTATGATTTGCACTATGTACTTCTTAATGACATTGTTCTAAAATGATAAAATCGTTGAATTCGTTGATTCTCATTCTAATGATTATTTGGACATGTTTCTATGTTCTAGAGTGTTTTTTGCAGATGAAAACACCTAATTCTACTCGGCCTACACAGTATCCTTGATTTCATTCAGTTTGATTTGTCTACATATTAAAGTTTCTGTTGGATCAAAATGGTTATGTATGTGTATATGTGGGTGTATGCACTTGCTCATCATCACATGCTCCCATCTATTTTGCATTGTTATGTTTGTTTAGGTGTTTCAAATTTCTTTATGCTTACCTTAACCTTAGTAGATGTCCTTTCTGTAAATCCCTCAATTACGCTGTGGAGTATCGAGGTGTCAAGACAAAGGAGGAGAAAGGCTTGGAACAAATTGTATGATTGATTTATCCTAATTATTGCTTTTATCTTTTTCTTCTTTAAGATATCTCGAACGGCATTCTGAAATCCAAATTGAACTTTGTTCTCATAATTTACATATGCAGGAAGAACAACGAGTTATAGAAGCTAAAATAAGGATGAGGCAGAAGGAACTTCAGGATGAAGAGGAGAGAGTACTGAATCGGAGAGAAATTAGTTCTTCAAGCAGTATTGCAGTAGCAAGTGAGGTTAACTATTTCTCAACAGCAGGTATATGACATGAGACTGAGTTAACACCTTTAGGTTTTCTTGATGTGTTTTCGATCATTCACTTACTTTCCTTTCCATTGCAGCTCCGTCTTTTGCCTCTGCTGTGGAAGGTGAGGAAATTGTCACCTCTCAGGCATCTGGTGCTGCTTCAGTAATAAGACCACCTTCTCATCCAAGGCAAAATAGGTATTTAACTTCTTTGGTTGTGAACTTACTGTTTAATATCATTTACTGTTTTGATTCTATGCAATTTTATGGTGTGTGGACCGCACATTCTAGAAAGATGTGGCTGTCGACAAGTGGCTATCATTTTTACATGCTAATTATCTCAAGAAAAATCTGACTGAAGACAAAATATCTTCCTATATTATTAGTTATTAATAATTTTATTATAGAACATTATATTTATAGGAGCTTGCCTAGAC